AAATGTATGCAAATCAGCACATATTTGATGTTTGATGACTAAAATGATAAATTGATCGATTCTGTCGATCAGCTGACGGATTGATCGACTCGAGGATGGATGTATAATGTGAGTTTACAGCATCAGGTCTCTGCTGATGTGATGTTTCCTTCAGATGAACTTGAGTTGCGTTGAACGTCTGTTGTGCTCAGGAGGAGTTACCTCTGTCTCTGGGGACGGACTGCTGGAGGCGATGGAACACACTGAATTGATCTTCATTATGGGGATGTGATCCGGCTCCTCTTTACACGTGGCCTCCACCGCATCACTGCCAGAGTCCAGTCTTTTCACGGGCGTCTGGAGTGAGAGGTCTGAGGGGGGAGGGGGGAGGGGGGGACAATTTAAAATCTATTATCCGTACATTACCTCGACACTGTTATGCAAAAGTACACATTTTAGATCTTCGTGGACGAGGAGAGTTTCCTTCTCTCTTGAGGGTGGACGTCCTCATGGGTTGTGCCTCCTGTTAGCAGGAACAACCAGACCCTTAGACGTGATGTAATTACGCCATCATGGGACTCGGTGAGTCAGACATTAGAGCGGCTTCAGTCCATCGAGGACATCATGTGACGCACAAAGTGATTTAAAAGATGGACGTTTCAAACCTTGATCCGCAGCTTTCCTCTTTGTTCTCCTGTTTGCTGAATGGAGTTCTTCTCTCTTCACCTGAGGTTCAGAAGAGCCTGAAAGCAACACTCACAGTCACGGACCGCTCTTTAAACAGATGAATATAAACGTATGGTCGGTGGTATTTATCGAGCTTTTGGAAAAGGTCGTTTGTTTCCCATTTAATTGAAGGATTTTCATGGATTAAGATTCAAAATGTTTTCTTTTATCTTTTTAAATATCCATATCTGAGATGTCTACTCCTCTCCCAGTACATGCTTTTTAAGAATAATAATATTAATACAGATTGAAATAACTTTCTACAGAAGAGATGGGCCTCCTCCACCAATATCTGAAGTGTTTTTGTTAGTTGTGTTACTGAGAAAAGTCTCTTGTCTGATTCGTGACTGCAGATCTGTTCGTACCCGCGTTCTTGTGATGATGAATCACATTGTCCTCGTGAAGTACAAGCGCTTGACAAATTGAAAGCCAGTTGATCACATATCATCAATAAGTGAAGATAAACGGCCCGCCGATCCACTTTAAGGGGCATGAGACTGCAGGGCCGTGTGCACACGCATGGATTTGAAAAGAGAAGTTGAGAGAATGAAGTACAGATGAACGACCGAACAAAAGTCTGAAGAAGGTGAAGCACCGGACTCGTAGAAACGTAAGAAAATACTTCAATAGTTCTGAAGTGAACGCCGACCCCACGTCCATATGTTAGTAGTGGATATAAAATAAGTGATGTGATCAATCACTAATTATTGGATGGCGTGGTTCCCAATTAACATAACTGAAAGTGTAGTGTTTGTTTATTTAAAATGATAAAAAACATTATTGTAATTGTTAAAATGTTTCTTAGCAATTTGGGGGAACCGACCCTTTAAGGCACTGGTCCATTTTTAAACAAATAAATAACTCGTCTTCATTCAGACGAGTAAAAATAAACATTTATTTTATTACTTTGTCTGTTTGCGTCTGTAGATTTCTACTAAATTCACCAAAAGTTGCCATAAGATAATGCCTCATTTGCATATTTAAACATCAGAAAACTTGTAATAATTGTCTTAATGTCGGTAATGAACTGGTGAAGTTTCATGTTAAAATGTAACCTCTTCACCTTTAGTGTCTACCCTTTTAAAAAGCCAGGTATGTTGACATTTGGGAGATGACGAATTGGATTAAAGTGATGGAACATTTTAATTTGCTACATAATAATGAAGAGGTATAGAGTGAAAACAAAGCTGCACATGAATACATAATGACATTGGACTCACTCATTAATCTGTGCTGTTGATCCGAGTGAAGCTCCTGGACAGAATGCAGCCTCGGCTCTCCATTGTTTGTCGTAACGTTGAGGTTTGTGGACGAGACAGAATCAGAACTACAAGTCCGGTCCTCCGTCGGTCCACTCATCGTTCTCACTGTGTTCGTCTGATCACGATCGTTCTCCTCGCGGCCCTCCAGCATCGTGAGTCTACCTGAGTCGGCGTGTTTGTCTGCAGCTCCCGTGTGGTACGGCGAGCCGTTAGTCGTGCGATTCATAATGGCGTCCACCTCGTCGTAGAACCTCATGAGGCGCCTCGGGTCGGCCTCGTCGCCCTTTCCTCTCTGCAGGGACCGGTAGAGGTACTTGAGGTTTTTGTACTTGGTGTGGCACTGCTTCCAGTCGCGTTCGATGCCTTGCTGCATCAACCTGTTGGAGATCTGGACGAAGATGTCCCTCTTCCTGGTTGAGCTCTCCAGCTGCCGGCACACGCGCTCTTCGGACCAGACTTGAATCAGCGCTCGCACCTCCTGGTCGCTCCAGTTGCGGCCCGTGTCCGACACCATGACCACGTGGAACTGCTCGGAGCTGGACGGGTCTGCGAGCGTCAGATGGGCATCTGGAGTGAAGAGAAATAGATTAAGAAAAGAAGAGATTACATGTGCTGCAAGCTGCACTCATGGATGGATTACTGAACGGGCCTACGCAGGCCCTTACCTACAGAATGTCACTCAAAGAGGTGTAACAGACAGGAAGAGACTCAATGACCACAAAGACACATGAAACGACCGCAAAGAGACACAAATCAACTACAAAGAGACGCAAAATGACCATAAAACAACCATAAAAACACCCAAAATGACCACAAAGAGGTTAAATATGCATGTCTGTGCTCAGCAGCCCATTGTCTCATCATCGGCCCATGACTGCTCTGGTTATTTATGCAGCGTACCTGTTCCTCTCCATTTGGCTTCCACGTCTCCATCCATATCGTAATCATCGCTGTTGTCATCTGAAAATAAAAAGAGGAGAGAAATAGATTTCTCTTTCAGCCGTGAATACTGAACTAAAATATGCTCTGCAGACTGAAAACATACCGTCATCAATTTCAATGACGACCTCGCTTTCTGAGGCCGGTGTCTGCAGCCTCCCCGCTCCCGTCTCTCCGTCATACAGCCTCTTCTGCATCTCCGTGGTCCCGTTTTCCAGCCCCCGGTCCAGCAGAATGGCCTCCACCTCCTCGAAGAACTTCATGTACTTCCCCGGGCCCCCGGCGCTGGCTCCGACGGCGTGAGCGCTTTTAGCGGTCTTGTAGTCGTATTTCAAGTTCTTGTACTTAGTTCGACATTGTTTCCAGTTACGCACCACCCCGAAGGTTCTTTGCATCTGCCGGGCCATCTCCTGGAAGATGGACTTGTTGCGCAGCGTGCACTTCAGGCGCTCTCGAATGCGCCGGTTGGCCCAGACGCACAGCAGCGCTCGCACCTCGTCGTCCGTCCAGTGGCGGCCGCCCTCCTCGGCCACGCTCGCGGTGTAAGGAAGAGCCCGGTGGATCAGACCCTTCATACCTGC